TTTGAGCTCGCCGAGGGCCTTCATCGACCTATTCGAAGCGTCGATGAGCGGCGGGCTCCGCGCGGACTGGATGGCAGCGCGCCACGGTTCTGCCACACAGCGTAGGTGGATTGGATTCGGGCCGGCGCCCAAATCTAGAACCGGTGTGATGGCGCGCATCATCGCGCGTCGTTGTCCGACCGTTGCGGTGACCTTATAATTTTGCTTCTTGAAGAAGCAAATTGCCGCTCCGTCCGTTCGGCTCTGCGATGGCGCGCGTACCGAAGCGGTCGACGAGGTGCCTTGTTTATTGAGGCTTGGCAGGGGGAGGATCGTCGACGCCTCTACGCGTCCTCCCCGGCTTCCCCCGTCAACCCAAGGTCCTCGGGCCCCTCGTCCGTCAGCAGTAGCGCGGGTTCTTCCGATTGGACTGCCTCGCGCGGCTCGACCACGTTGATGCCCGTGGGAGCCTGCGCACGCGAATTTCGCCACGCGGTCGGCGGTTGGCGCTCGAACGGCGAACCCGGGCGAAGACCTTGACAGATCCGAAGCTTTTGATAATTGGCCTCGCGGGTCTGCAAAAGCTTCGAACGCAGCGCGCTATCCGCCACCACAGGACATTGCTCCTGTCGGTGGGTCAGGTCCAGACAGAACCGACACGGCGGGGGTCCAGGTAATTCTTGGTTGAAGAACCGGACCCGCTGGTTCTGTAATGGCCTTCCGTACGGATGTGCGCGCGCGTCACCGTGTTGGGCGGGCGCCATCGGCGCGTCCGCCGGGGACGAGGCAGGTGACGGATGGTAGCTAGTCGGCGGCGAGCTAAGCGAGCTCGGCGTCGCCGACTGGTCCGTCACCGCCAGTATCTCCTCCGTTTCGGTTCCGCGCGCTGTCGGGAGTTCAGACAGGGACTCGACCGACAGCACGGGCCTTGTCCGCGCGTTGTGCGTGAATCTTCTCACCGAATCAGACGGTGCTTGAGGCGACGCGAGCGAGGTCGTCTGTCTTCGAGACGAGCGGTGAGTCTCGCCTATCGCTTGCGCGTAGCGTGCCACCGCTTGGTAGTCCACGCCCGGATGCGTCGCGAGATAATTCCGCACCTGCGCGCACGTCGCTGGCAGAAGTCCCTCAACGAAAAGGGACTTCAAGCGCCTGTCCGAGAATACGGTTCCGCAGCGCAACGCCTTGTCCCACAACTGGTTACTGTACACCTCCTCCGTCATATTAGAGCTCTGACGAAAGAAGGTGACATCACCGACCGCTTCGGAAATAACTTCGTCAGTCGCGTACGTGCGCAATAAAAAGTTAACAACTTCCGCGTAGGTTTCGAGCATATCGCGCTGCTCGGCATCGACCGCCATGGTATTCCCGTGTAGCCTCGACTGGAGCAAGGCGTGAGCCTGCCCAGTCACATAGAACTAGAAACACCATACGGCCGCGCCTTCGCTGACCCCATTGTGGTCGCAGGCCATCTTGAAGCGCGCGAGGAATCCTAGCACCGCGATTGGATCTTGACCACCGAATGTGTGGGTTTTCAGCTAGACGTCCAACTTCTTCCGATATCGGTTAACTCGCCGCGCGGTACTCGCGTCGTAGCGCGCGCTGCGATTTTCCAGCCTATACGTGCGGTAGTCGACGGCCTTGGTGAACAGGTCGTTCAGCGGCCTGATCACCGGCAACCGTTTCGGATCCCGCCTCGGAGCAGACCGGCGGTCTCTGCCCCTGCGATGGCGGTCTCCTTCTCCGCCGGGGCTACTGTAGCCCTCCGGATCGGAGTCTTCTCGCCGGATCCGACGTCGGTCGCGCGCATTGCGGCCTCTGCGGTCGCTTCTGCGAGATCCGTCCGACTCGGTGTCCTCGTCATCGGAGGGGTATCCACCTCCTCCGGCATCGCCGTATCGCGTGTAGCGTCCTTCGCGGTTATCATTGGAGGGGTAACCGACCCCTCCGGCATCGCGGTATCGCGCGTAGCGTCCGTCGCGGTTCTTGCGCGTCGCCCTGTGCCGACGTCTTGTGTCTTCTTCCTCGGAGGGGTTTTCTGTACCCTCCGAGGTGTAGCCTTGAGCGCCGGGTGCCCTTCTTCTGCTCGACCGATACGGTTGTCGCTTTTCTGTCGCGAAGCGCCCCAGGCGGTTTTCTGTCCCGCGGGGGCCAGCCGTATCGGCGAGTACGGGAGAGCCATTTTCTGTGGGCCCTCCTGTAGCACCATAAATTGGTGGGAGGTAAATGGTCTTACCCTCCGGGTGAGGGGCCATTGTACCGATCCCGGGTGCGGCGCCGATCGGTTCAGCGTGCGTTAGCGTAGGATCCGGAGCGGCTGAGTCGCGCTGCTCGCGTGCGTCGACTCCTGCTCCGGCGAAGGTCGTGGCCAGACGATTGGCCACGGCGGAGCTGATCGCTCCCTTTAGAGCCGTACCGGACGGGGATTCTTCATCCACAGTGGTGAGCGCGGTCACCACCTCGCATTGGACTTGAGCGGGTAGAAGTTTGTCCAAAAGCGGTGGTATCGCGCTGCGTACGTGCGCGTCCACGAGCGCGGGCACCGTTCGGTCGAGGCATATGCGCGCTACCTGGGGGAGTTCCGTAGCGAGGAACTTCTCGACCCAGGCCTGGATGCGCGGCTGAATTGCGTCGACCATCCATTGGACGCGATTCTCGGTGCCTGCCGACACGGCCGGAGTAACATCCGATGCGGACGCTCGCGTGCGGCCCGGTCGCAGTGGTGGTCGCCGCAGGGCTTCCGGGTTTTCCACCTCGGGGCGCGGTGCGCCACTGCCACTGCGGATGCTCAGACGCCCGGAGGCGGAGTCCCCCCTTCTTCTGGTCGGTTCATCGTCGAATACGCTTCGCGATCGACGCGGTGATTGCTCAACCTTTTCCGTCCGTACAGTTCTGCACGCGATCAAGCGACTACGCGTGCGGCTCAACCTTTAGAGTTATCTCCTCCACAAGAGTACCAAATGTGGGATAACCCCTCTCCGCCCTGGGTTGGGTGAGAGGCGGAGGCTTTAGCGAGGGAGCACGCGGCGCGGACGCGATGCGCCAATTGAACCGATCGGACGAGCTCGCGAAAAGGGAGTGGCTCACTGGCCGGTTACGCGCAGTCGCCCCGTGGTGCGTGAACGGGAGCGACCGGTAACGGGTTAGAAGCCAGCGCGCGCGACGGACAACCGAAAACGGACGTACGTAGGCTCAAAAGGGACGGGGGCGAGCTTGCCCCCGTTTACTGGTGGGGACGGGTGCCAGGTCTTAACCCCGCAGAGGGACACCTCGGACACCTGTCCCAGTACAGTAGTACAGTACCTGTCGCCTAGTGCGTGCCGGGTACTGTACACAATTAAAAAACTAGCGCCATAATTGCTACTACCGCACGGACGCTGCTACTACACGTGTGCACTACTGTACACGCGTGTTGCTTACAGACTATCGCACGGAAGACACGTGTGCTAACGCGCACACGTAACACGCGTAGACTACCGCTCGGACGACACGTGCACTACTGTACACGTACGCCAGATTACGACCGCTCGGCATGCGCGCGCGCTCGCTACACGTGGGGACAGCCGCTCACGTGTATACCGTATACGGCCGTCCGATGACCTCCGCGCGCTCGCGCCAGTCATTATACTACACGGGACACCTTGCTTCCTCAGCACTTGCACGTGCCGATCGCCGAGAGGAGAGAACTCAGAACACTTTGAAGTGTTATGAGTCCACGAGTCGTTTCCATGAGTCCCATCGGTTTGCGGCGTTTCCCTCGCAGATCAGTTTTCCTTTTCCCTTGCCGCATTTTTTGCTAGGCTCTTCTCATTTCCTCGCGCTACCTTTGGGTCTGGCTCTCTTGACGCTGACGCTCTTCCTCCCGAGCTTTTGTGGCATCGTATGAAGCAGCGAAAGACGGACGGGTCGCTTCCGCCGCTCCATGTCTTTCCCGCTTCCACATGTCTTCGTTGTTGACGAATATCTTCTGCGGTGAAGGATTGCGTGAGAAACATGCTGTCCCCGGTATTAATGCGTCGTGGAACACCGACGGAACGCCGGTCATTGCCGCATATCGAGCCGCATATTCAGCCTGCTCCAATGCCTTTGAAACAACCTGCATGTAGCGCGCTCCCGCACGTTGGTCGATGTGTCGGACGCGGTCCGGATGCACAAGTAGGGCGAGGCATCGGTAGTTGCGCTGTATGGAGCGGAATTGTGGTCGCCGTCCGGCTTGCAGAATATGTCAAAAATGGTGGTCACGTCGCATTCAACTGTGCCGATGTGTCAAATGGCCTGACGGGTGTCTGATGGCATCTTTCGGCGATCCATGACACTGTTGTTCAAGTAATGCTGCTGGTTAGGGCGGGTAGTGCTTCGCCTCGAAATGGTATCCAAAAAGAACGGGCGATGGGAGGCGACGGGAGGCCAGTTCAACAAATGCAGTGGCGAAATAAGCGCGGCGGGAAGTAGGAGCGCGACTTCATGTGCTTTTGGGGCGACTTTGCACAGGAAGTTTTTTGAGGGGCGATTTGGGAATTGTGTGGTCATTTAGGGGCGCGACAAAACAAGTCCACCATTTGTCGCCCTCAGGAATCCAACAAGTACCATAGCCCCAGTGACGTTTTTCGATATCCGTTCGATGCTTGTTCGATGTGCCCTCGATAGCACTGTTAATTAACCCCCTCGATGCTTTTCGGATATACTTGTGATGTGCCCCCGATGGCTCTGTGATATGACATGGATAGCTTTATGTTGAAGATCTGATATCTTTACACTATCCACAAGATAGTTGCTCGACGAACGTATGATGTGCATAATCTACGCGATATTCGCTCCAAATGATGTGCCACCGATGCCTATCGGAACTGACATCTAGTTCTCTGGTTGGACCAATTATCAGACGCCAAGTGGCTGCTGAGGCCATTTAAGTGTGGACAAGTGTCATACTGGGAGTTCCCTCCGCTACACGTGTAGTGGTTACACATGCCACTATTACGCCGCCAAGTGTCTCCAGAGAACGGGCTATGGTGCCAGCTACTTACATGCCAACTGTCAATTCGAGAGAGCCGCTGCAGTCGCTGTTTAATGCTGGTGCTGGAACCGGCACCAGGGGCCGCCCTGGACAATTCTTTTGCGGCATTGCCTTCTCCCTTACCCGTTTTGTGATTTTCGCATTGCGCTCGTGGTCTGCTTTCATTCTCCCAGCTTTCTCCGCCCTCTGTTCGGGCTGCCCATGTTCCTTCTCTTTTTCTCCTTATCTGCACTCGCGAATTCCCCAATTCTGCCTTTCGGGTGCGGGGAGAAGGCGGAGAAGCCGACGTGGCGCCGCCGTATGGAGCCCAGTGCGGGGGGCGGGGCGTGAGGCCTTGGAATCGCCGCATTGGCGGATACATGGCGCTGCCTCGCTTCCGCTCCCGTCCACGCCACGCTTCCGCTCTAGTCGACGCCTCGCCACTGACCGCCCTGCCGCTCCCTCTGCACCTGCAGCCCCTCGCCTCCACCTTGCTCCCCCTCCCCCCGCCCACCGCTCCCGTTCCAGATCGTCTCTCTACCCCTGTACCCACTTCCGCCGCCCGGACCTCCCGCCCCCGCTCCTTTCGCCACGCAGCGCTACGCCGCGTCGCTTGGCAGCCACACCTTCCCCGCCCGCTGCCGCACCCCGCTCGCGCCCCCCTCATTTGCGTTGCCAAGCCGAAACCCACACCTTTACAACGCGTACGCCTCCGCCCCGCCCCTGTTATACAGAGACACATACACAGCGGAGGCGGAAAGTGCAAACGTATTCACAGCGGTCGCACAAGTGGACGTCCGGGCAATACAGGGCAGTAGGTCATGCGTGCACACTCCTGTCTCATCGTTGCCGCAGCCGACTGTGCCGATTTGCCCCCTTACAAAAAGCAGAATGAATCAACTGCAAAATCACGGAGGTGCCAGTGCACATCGGGGCCAACACGTTGTGGAATCATTTGCAGAAACAGAGACTCATAAACGAAAGTTAAAGTTAGCATTGGACACAGGTCTGTGATCTCGCTTCCGACGAACCCTGAAGGACCCATTTCTGTAGTTCGTCATTCCATGGGGAGGCCCAAAGCGCAACCGAGCAATTCATGAAGACTCGCCAGCCGTGGCAAAGCGACACATTGTTACCGCCACATCCGTGGGTTTGCCATGACCACCGGCTGCGGACTGTGATACCGTGGTGGCGCTGGCCTGCTAATTCCAATGGGCATAGAGCAATGGGAACAGAAACAAGGTTGCGGTGATGGCAATATTAGAAACGTGAAGGAGCGAAGCGGTAAAAAGATGGCAATGGACTGAAACGTCTTACCTGTAGAAGCGGAATGAGGAAAAGTTTGGAATTCGCCAAGTCCAATATACTGGAGTTTCTGATCGGTAGCGCGGTGAGAGACTAAAAAGGAATTCAATCGATGCTGTCAGAAAGACGTGAATCCATGGTGTTGCAGACACCAAATCAGAAGCTGAATAACAAACAAACCCTTTCATATGAAGAGCTCCCGTGGAGATACGCCTCGTAATATCAAAGAAGATGGAAGCAGTTAAGGAGATGCCAAGTTTGTCGGCGAGCTGGGTGAGGGATGTTGACGGTCACAAGAGCTTACCTTTTTGATGTAGAAGCCGAGGGGACAAATGCGGGAGGGACTGTGGGACTGTGGGACTGTGAAACGCAACATGGAAGGTACGGGCTGGTGTTTCGGGCTGCATGGCGTTGCTGTTTTCAGGGTGGCGGGGGGGTTCGATCGATGCTAGTGGCGGTGCCTACAGCACCACAGGCCGTCGTTGTCGAAGTAGTTGGGGTCGCTGAGAGGAAGAGCCACTTCATCGGCGGGCGAGGCTGGACGACAGACGGGACAGAGAGCGATTCTGCATGCGGGCGGTGGGGGCGAGCAAGTCGGTGGCAAGCGTGTGCAGGATGGAGTTCAGAGATGTTTGGGAGGTGTTGTGCGGAGCGGAGAGCTGCGATAGTAGGCGCGGTGTGTCAGCGGTGGCGGAGGGTATCTTCGGAACGGGCGGGTTAGTGCGGGATCGCGGCGGGGCGAGAGGTAAGTACGGAGAGGTGGAGTGCGGAGCAGTGGGAGGGACTGCGATATGTAAGAGGAACGGTAGCTCCGGATGTGGCGGGCTCACTGAGCCGCTCGGCGTTGCTGTTTTCGGTTCGCGGGGAGTCCCCGCTATCGAAGCGCAATCTGATTTATTTATTTTTATTCTATATATATATATATATTTTTTTTTATTTCTTTTAGGTATGAGATACAGCCACGCGTAGCGCGCGATATAAGTACCTCTCGAAAGACCCTCGTTACCGCGGATGACGAGGATGCAAGACTGTTGGTTGTAGCTGAGCTCGCAGGACCCTAGTAAACATAACGCAATGCGACCGCAGTACGTACAGTGCAGTGGCTCCGGAGGATCTCCGTAGTACGTGTGGGGTGCGGCATGGGCACTGTGCTCCCCGTACGTGGAATCCGTACTGATGATACTACGAGTGACCCACAGTGGCACTACGACCCTACTGCGTACTACGGTGCACTGCGGGTGCACTACAAATGCACTGCAAATGAGACACCTATGTGCCCCAGAAGAGTTAGCCAAGTGTTTGCTTTCTACTCGCTTTCTACTCGCATGGACTCCCACTGTATGTGATGCAATTGTCGATTTCCGATTCATATACAGTAGTCTCTCGATAAACCGAACCAAGTGGTGAAAAGGATCTGGTTCCGCTTATCGGGCAGTTCCGCTTATCAAAAGTTGTCACACCATGCGTTTCTGGCCAATCATTCAATTGTCTCATATTTTTATTGGAAAAACATATCCAGAGTCGTCTGCTTCGCAGAGCGACTCGCTTCCAGTCGGACGAATGTCTGCAGCTTCCTTACCGAACTCAATAATGCAGAGTCCGCCCCAGCACAATCTGCAATTCTCTTTGTAGAGCAAGAGCCTGAAGCTGCTTTTTAGCTCCAGAGAGTCCACCGCCATTTGTCTCGTCATCAGAGTTTTCAGGGCTCTCTTCATCAGATACTATCCAAGATAAAATATAAGTAACCATTTTCTCGTCCGTCATAGCCTGCAAGCAATCATTTTCTCCATGAGGGTTCAGAATCTCGTCAATGCTCATGCGCTGAGCCGGCGTCACTAAACCAGAAACTTGATGCTCGAGCTCTGCGGCCATTGCCAATTCATTTTCTTCCACGTTCGCATTCTGTGGGCTAAACAGAAGACCAGTGTGCTTCCAACAATTGTGGATGAGTTCGCGAGGAAGGTCATTCCACGCACGCTTAAACCACCTCATAGCCGTTAAAATATCAACTTCGAAAATCTTCTTGACGTCCACCTCGAGTTTGTCTAAAGCTCTGTCCATATGTAGTTTTTCGTAGAGAAGCTTTAGTGATGCAATTACTCCTGCATCCATGGGCTGTACCTTCGATGTACAGTTGGGCGGAAGGTAAACTATGCGAAGATTGGGCATCTATAGCAACGTCTCAGCAGTTCCATGAGCACTACAATTGTCAATCAGCAGTAGCACCTTGCGTCCTGGCGAAATGCAAAAAATATGAGTGAAAACGACGAAGCCAGTCATAAAAACAGAGTGCTTGTCATCCATGCTTCCTTTTTCGCGTGGTTCAAAGCCCAGCTCAGCTCCAGCTTTCTTTTTAAAGACGTGAGGTTTCCAGGCGTGTCCTTTGACCATCAACTCAAACTTTTCGCTGCCATCAGCGATTGCACATGGCATGAAGGTGATTCTTTCTTTTGCTTTTTTACGCCCTGGTAGCGGTTTTGTGGCAATCGTCTTATCCGGAGCCATAGAAAAAAATAATCCGCACTCATCGGCATTAAAAGACGTCTTTTTGGCATAATGTGCCACAATTTCCCTCAGTTTTTGAAGTTTGCGACTGAGGGCATTCACATCTGCATCAACGGACTCTCCATGGGATTTAAAACCTCGGAGGTTCCATCTGTTCTTAAAATTATCCAACCACCTCTCAGAGAACTTGAGATTAATTCGTTGTTCACCTGGAATTTTTCATTGGCTAATGTCTGGATTTTAGAGCTTTATAGCGAATCATGTAGCCATTAATGTTGATGCGGTGTGCATGCTGCTCGCAAACCCAGTTAAACAGTGCATCCTCCAGGGCATGATTTTTCCCCAGCTTGTTGCGCCTTTTCTTTGCAATGTGACCGGGATTATTTTTGCGCAGAAAAGCAGACTGTGCGAAAAGGCGTGACAGTGCGGCTTTACTCGGAGCCTTGGTCAGCTTGAAATTAATTTTCGCCCAAAGCCCCAGTGCCTGCTGAGTACTTTTTCGCCTTTCTCCAAACGTCGGCCCCTTTCCTCGACGATTTTTCTTCAGTTGGACGGTAAGTGTGTGGCCCATGGTGGCTGTGTTGGTCGGCGGGGAGTTGGGATTCGGAATGGAGATGCATTTGCTGCTTTCATTGGCCTAAATACATTTTTCTGCTATTTATCCGTTCAGAACTACTGTTCTGAGTAAAAGAAACTATTTATTCGTTCAGAACAGTAGAGAAGGAAACGAACTTTTTATATTTTAAAGGGGAATTGCACCTACAATGCAGCTGCAGAGGCTATAATGAAGCGTTGTGTGTGTTCCGCTAATCAAGAGCGGAACCGAAGTTATTTTTTCATTAAAATTTGCCTTCTCCCAGCTCGGTGGGCCGATGTCGGTTCCGTTTATCGCAAGTTCCCTTTATCGCAGGTTCCAATTCCCGAGAGACTACTGTACTGTATCTATTCCCACGGATCCTTCGTGCCAAGCATATTTATCAATCATATCATCTACCTCCCCTCGTCACCTTGCACCGATCCATTTCGCAGTACATCTCCTCCATCGTCACCGCGCTCGTCCCCCACGATCCGCAATTACGCACAAATGCTATCAACCCGCTGCGACCGCACTTTTCCGTAATATACATCACGGAGGTGCCCTTCTCGCAACCCAGGCGAACGTAGTTACTCATTCGGGAGCAGGGCTGCCCGTGAGACACTCGCAAAAATCTGAGGCGAAGTGATTCCAATTTCTGGGCACGGCCAAAACACAACAACGAAGGGGGTTAGGCTTTTGCGAAAGGAAATGAAAATGCATGCTTGCCTCGACAAGAAGTCAGAACTTACCGCGTTAATTAGTTATACGAGTTGCCACTCCACACGTGGGCCATGGCCTTGACAAGCTCTGACACCTGCTGCGGGTCAAGACTGGCACTCCCTACAATCACTTTCAGCCTAAACTTGGCATCGAGGGCCTTCCGCGGGACGACTTCAAGACCCCTGTGTCGTCATCCGCGTGTCCGCCTTAGCAATACTCATTGCCGTAATTAGAGACGCCCGAGTGATGTCGCCCCATGCCGACGACGTATAGATTCTAGTTAATGGTGGGCACGGCGTCCGGGTTGTCGGGATGCTGAAGATTGTAGACATTGAGTTCGACTGGGACTCCACCCGCATTAGGCATCATTCCCTGGTTTGACGACATGGGCTGTTGTGGATGGGTCTAGCGCATCGGGGGATGATGACGGGGGCGGTGGTGAGGATGTCTGTATGTTGACCAGGGGTGCAGGTGGAGGACGGGATAGACGAAGGGCACATGTGAGGCGGGTAGGGGATGTGAGGGCGTCGGCGAGCGGGGTGCGGACACGTCGGCGCTCTCGCGCAAGGCGACGCTGCCGCCAGAGGCGATGGCGGCGCGGCGCCCGCATCGCGGGGGGCGCTCGAAGACATGCAGCGGCACTCCGACGAGCACCTCGGCAATCTCGGGCGCAAAGAGACGCGCTGCGCAATGCCGCCCAAGCCCAGCGCTTGCGCGGCGTTCAATGGAGACTGAGGCTTTTCCGGCTCTTCCGTGAACGGGGTGTCATCAGGCAACTCGTTACACTTGTTGTCAAATACTTTCGTGACCACCCTTGTAATCAGATAGCCGTCGTTATGTTCCACCACCTCTTCGACCTCGCGGCGGATGCGCCTCGGACCGCTCCTGCTCGGTAGTCCAAAGGCCT